CCAGCGCCGCCCGCCGGCCGGCCCAGCCCGCCACGTCGCCCCCGCCCCCTAAGCCGCTGTTGCCATGGCGACGCCGAGCCGAGCGCCACCGACAGTGGCCGAGGCCGCCCGAGCCCCGGGGCGCCGGGAGGGAGGGACCGCAGGGCTGCTGAGGGGCGGGAACCCCCGGAGATACAGACCACCGTCCCTCACCTCCCCGCCGCCTGGCCTCACAGCCGGTCCTCACAACCAGGTCACACCGCCACCCACCGGGAGCAGTCCACACCCCCCCCCCGACGGGGACTGACATGCGCGGCTGCCCAGATGGGGGAAACTAAGGCTCTGAGAGCAGGCGCGTGGTGCTCCACGGGACCAGCTGGCCAGCGCCCAGTAACACTCTGGCCACCTGGGCCCCCCTAACGCGGGCAGGCAGTGGCTGGATGTCAGGATGGAGTTGAAAACCCTTGAACCTCACAAGGACAACCCCTATGGGAATAGGCTCCCTAGCGCCTGGCTTAGGAAGGGGCCGGGTGCTGAAGGGTTTGTTGAGTATCCCCAGTGAGTGCTTCAAGATTTGGGGCACCCTACTCAGACCATTCGTGAATTCGCCAGGGTGCACTGGCCTGAGGCTGGAGCTTAACGCTCCACCATCCACTCAATCCACCCCAGGAGCTGGTGGACTAATGAAGGAGCAGGGGAGGAAAGACGCGTCAGTCGATACATGCAGGTTGGACCAGAGCTCCGAGACAGGTGATGGGTAGATGTGGGGTTCCAGGGGCCACAGCTGAGTATCGCTGGACAGGCACCTCGAAGAACTGGGAAGGCAACTTCCTGAGGGAGGCGGGCTTATCTGGGAGGGGTGCTGGGGTTCACGCACCCACCCACGCTCAATTCGGGATGATCCAAGGACAGAAGTGTAAACTTTTTAAGTTGCTGTTGTCTGTAATCTGAATATCACATTTTCTCCATCACATACAAAAAGGTGGGCTTGGCAGCCCTCTGAGTTCAGGGGGGGATAGGTGGATATTTGCTATAGGCATTATCCCTAGCCCCTAGATGTGACAAGGTCAAAAACTGGCTGAATACAGCATCTCATGTCATCAGCACTAACAGAAAACACTCGAAAACTGTTAACTGCAAATGAAGAGGCCTTCTTGGAGAGGTAAGGACACGCAGGTGTCCAGGGGCTGCCTAATGCCAGAGCTTTTCCCAGGGGGCATCACCTCTTTTGCCCTCCTCACCAAGCCTCCCCTTTTCTACCTTTTTCTCTCTACCATCATCTCCCTCCTCAACCTCTCCCATCCATAGCAGACCTACCTATTCCTGTTGTCACTTGCCAGCATTCCACACATCCTCCAAGGCCCACCCAAAATGCTACCTCACCCAAAAGCCTTCCACAGCCCACATCACCCACCCAGGTGTTCAAATACACTGCAGCTCAGGAGATACCTCTTTGTATAAGGGGTAGCAGGGGGGAGCCTCCTCTAGAGAGATGACCCACAGGCAAGGCAGTACAGACTAGGAGAGCTCTAGGCTCTTAGGAGTGGGCAGGCAGGCAGGGACCTGTGCCTCCATGTAAATGCTGGGCTCCCCCAACCTCAGCCCTGCCTGGCTAGCCTGTGTGGGTTCCCACACAGGTGTTAAGTTGAGCAAGTCTTCCCAGCGGGCTTGTACTTTTTCTTGGTTTTCATCTTCTGCACTGATGGAAATTTCAAATTTGTTACACTCTTAGGGTACAAAGAGCCACAAAGCCCGTTTTACAATTTATGGAGCCCATTCTGTAGCAATATTGACAGTCTGATCCTGTCTGAATTTTAAATAAAAGTTTTCTCCCCTCTAAGAGAGTGGGTGGAGCGTTTGCCTCCTCCCCTCAAGGCTCAAACACCTGATGCTCTCCCAACAGCACCTTCCTTCTGGCAACCTATACTACCTGCTACCTCCCCACACACAAGCCAGCAGTGACCTTGGGACAGAGTACTCCAAGAGTCAAGTGCACCACACACTGGACCCACATCAGCCTTAGACACTACAGGGTGAGCAGTCGCTATGTTTCCAAGAGGCCCGGAAGTCCAGATAACGGGAAGACTCTTCAGGGAACCAATGAGGACTCCTGCTAATCTTCATCCCACCACAATTTGCCCTACAGACAAATAGCCCTCATCCTAGAAGGAGACTGGGATCCAAAAAGCTGTATTGCTGAGGGTAACTAAGGTCCAGAGAGGGGAAAGGGCTTTCCCAAGGTCACACAGCAAAGTTAATCAAAGGCCCTAAGTTCCATGCCTGTGCTCTACCCAGCCTCACACTTTAGTCTCCTTCACAGGGCTAGAGGGTCTGGCAGCTCCTCCCCAGCCCTGGATGAAGGGAGACAAGTCTTTTCTCTTGCTCCTTTATGGACAGCAGCTACAGCCAGAATTCCGAAAGAGTAGCTGTTTGGTGCTCAAATCAGAAGTTATTCTATACCCAAGTCAAAGTGTTGGGAGTGGAGCTCAGTGGGAGAGAGCTTGCTAGCATGCATGAGGTGCAGAGTTTGATCCCAGCATGCAAAACAAACAAAACAAAAAAGACCCAAGTCAACCTTTACCTAAGTGGCAGCAGGCAAATAATGTCCCTTCTTTCAGTAGAACAGGGTTGCCAACACCCACTTTCTGGGCTGCTCTGACAGCCTGTGGCTAAGAACTGAGAGGTGCAGGTAAGCACTCAGGCCTCAAGCCTGACTGTACCAGATCCCCCCTCCTGCCCCCCCTTATCTCAGAGAGTTGATAGCCAAGGACCCCGCACCTGGCTGTGAAGTGAGTGTAGATGCTATGCGGATTAAATAGGATATATAAAAATGATAAGGCTTCTAGTTCAGGATATGGAGTACAATAAATACTCAAGCCAGGTGTGGTAATCCTCATCTTTAATCCAAGCACTCGGGAGGCAGAGGCAGGCATATCTCTGTGAGCTCAAGGCCAGCCTGGTTGTACATATCTAGTTCCGGGCAAGCTGTGGCTACAGGGAGCCCCTGTCCCAAAAAAAGAAAAAATATATACTCAAAAGTCATGTTTATTCTCATGGAGAACCCACTCAGACACAGGCTTTGTTAAAATCTGCAGAGTGTAATAATAGGTCAGGGCCAGCTCATTCTGTGAGGGCTAGACACACTCTCCATAACCACTCCTTTACCCTTGCCCCCATAGCCACCCCCCACCCCCGCCAAAGTCTGCTTTCTCACATCTCTAAGAAGCTGTGTTCCCTCCCCTTACTCCCCTGAACAAGACCTGACCTTCCCAGTCACCCCTTGGGGCACCTCAACCTGGATTCAAATCTTTTGTTTCTTCATTTGTTGTTAAGACAGAGTCTCACTATGTAGCCCAGGCTGGCCTCCTGAGTACTAGGATTAAGGGATTCACCATCATACTTGGCTTCCTGGTTTTAAATCCTTTTGGGGGGAAGAGGTTGAGTTATGATATACTAGGCTGGCCTCAAACTCCTAATTCCTCCTACGTCCTTCCAAGCACTGGGAATACAGACATGCAGCCAACCACCATGCCTGGCTCTGGGTTCAAATCTTGATTCAGACAACCTGTAGACAAATTACTGGCCTCTCTGAACCTCAGTCTCACCATCTTTACAATGGGATAATGATGATACCTACTTTATGGATTATGGGAAAGATTAGAGTCAGAGACCACCAGAAAACCAGTGTATATTTAAGCTACCACATGTAGCACTTGGTAGCTTTATTGCTACTAATTCTGAGGCTGGTTCTAGGCCAGCCACCTCTTTTTGTCCTAAGGGGTGGATGACCACCATAGGTAGGAGTCTGTCTGGGCTGCCAAGGATTCTACAAGCCATCTGGCAGTGGGGACAGGGACATGAATGAACATGCTTGCAGAATGATCCTGGAACCGCAGAGTGACATCCGGTTTGGAAGTTCTGAACTCTTCTAACAAGCACTTTCTTCTAAAGCAACCTCAGAGACTCCCTGTGTGCACAGTGCCCTGGCCACAGGGCTGCTCAGGTGAGGCTTAAGCTTTTATCCAGGTACTAGGACTGAAGTGTAAAGCGCAGCAAGCAGCCTCACACAGAAAGCAGCCTCACAGTCCACAGGGACTGAGCCTGCTCCCGCCCCTGTGGGATACTCTGCCTCCATTAACACAGCAGGGAGCTGTGCCAGTGTACATGGTTCAGCTAAGGCCCTGGGGCTTTCCCACAAGGCTGCTGTTGCCAGTTCTAGCCTCCATGAATGGCCCCTACCTAATAGGACATAGCCCCTCCCGGCTGGTCCACAGGCCCCAGGTGTCCCCACCATACCTAACTGGCTAAGGCCCAGGGCAGATCAGAGTGGAGAACTTAAGGGTCCCGTAGGGGTCTCAGGCTGGAAGAAGTCCTAAGCCTTTGCAGCCTCCTCTCTTGCCCACCCCCTGCTCTTCTCCCGGAGGCTCTCCAACAGTGCTCAGAGGCCTCTCAGAATTCCAGACACATGATCTCTTCATTCCATTTCAATTCCAAGTGATGATGATGATGATGATGATGATAAATGATGGGTTATCGAGCAAGCTCCTGTTTTGCCAAGTTGCTGCGTCCATGGAAACTCATAGCACATCTCTCAGCTGGGAGGGAGCCAGCCGAAGGGGCCCAAGGCCTCTGCTAAGAGTCCTTAGGAGGACACAGGTTTCAGTTTCAGAATATGCTGGGTTTTCAGAATGGGAAGTGGAGGCTTAGTGAGGTTAAGATACTTGCTCAAAG